AAAATTCGAGTTACGCAGCTGTGGAGGGAAACCTTTGAGTAAGGATGGTTTTTAATCCATGATTTTCAATGGAATTCAGACAGGGGACTTGAAAAAAATATCGACATCGATATATTTCGAGTTATGGAGGTTCACCTGTAATGAAGAAAGAACTCTTATGTCACTGTTGAACAATTTAACATAAACCTTCTTTCCATATCGTCTTGAAGTTTACATATCTCCAAAAAAATAAAAAAACTCGAGAGATTTTACAGCAAAAGAGGCGAATAGATCCATGTTGAGCTGCTTTCCGAAGCCTCACTATATCCTTTTTTATTTTATCTTCATTTTTCACATGCATATTAATAACTGGAGCAAATTCATGGCAAATACTTCATCTATCCACTTCTGTTCCATGAAAAAATACCGAAAGCAGCAGTGCTGTACAGTATCTAGAAGATGATCCTCCAGATAAAAAAGAGGAAAACAGGATATCACTCTGCGGATCTTTTCGATAGGCACGAACACAACAAGCTCTTCAACACTTTCTGAAAGCCCCTTATATTCATTCTCTTACGAACGCACATATGCCATCATCCCGCAGAACTTGACCACAGAACATCCGGTGCGTTGTATATGTACTGTATATCCCGACTTCACAATCCCACCCCACCAGGAATTCCCACCAACCGCGTTCACCACTGCTTATGTTTTGATATCGCTTCAGCATCTTCGCACGTATCTTTTAAATTTATTGATTTCTTGACGTCACAGGAGTACAAGACTCGATCAGGGGAGTACAAGTACAGGAGTGTGAGAGGAGTGCAATGCTGATTTCCGCAGAGCAAATTTTGAGGCAAAATTTGTCAATTTCGACACGTGCGAATATGTTAGTACTCACCACATTTAGGTGCGTGAAGGCCGCACTTTTCATGCAGAATATTACCCCAAAAACTCTAGTGACAAGGTATTCAAGTACAGTACACTATGCTGTACTTGAAAGGCCATCATCATGGTGAACCTTGATAACTCAAACCTCCTCTAGTCAAATGCCCCCCGAAGTCAAATTTTTTTCAGGTCCCTGTCCGAATCCCCTTAGAAACAATGCATTAAAAACCTCCCTTAGTCAAAAGCTTTTCCCCCAAACCTCCAGAAGTTGAATTTTCTGTGACCTGTTGGCCATTCTTTTCTTGGCCCAAGAAAAAAAAAAAGAGAAATGAAGACAGAACTGCATGTGTTTTAAAGGAAGTGAAGGACTTGATTGGGCAAATGAACCCCTGCCTCCAAGTTCAGCAGCCTTTCAACTCATTCAAGAAGCCACCTAAGCCCCAGAATTCCACAATTTACATTTTTTCTAGGTTTCCCTGAAAAAGGGCGTTGTATTGTAGTTCGGACTTCTGTAATCCAAACTTCCCTAATTTGAATCTTTTTTGCAGGTCCCTTGAAATTCGACTCAGAGACTGTATTTCAGATATACAGTAGTCCAAGGAAAGGAAAAACAGCCACCCTTGCCATCTACTCTGGCCAACATTGTTCCCCTGTATGTATGGGTTTCAAATCATTTGGTGCCCGATAATCTCGGTTTTCCGGTTTAAGGATTCCATGCGTACATGCCTCTCGTCATAAGCAATGAATAAAATCGAGAGTGAGAAAATCTCCGTTAGCGAAAAGTTTCAGGATTGCAGGAAGAAGTAATTTTTGCATTGATGAATCATAAACCATTATCCATCATCATCTTCGTCATCAAAATACAGCACTAATAATTCAAGGAATGCGGTAGAACTTAAATCAACCCAATTTCAATGATTTTGTTCATCTAATTTTTCGATTCATTTGAGAAGAAACGAAGAAACCTGAAAAAAGTGATTCACGAATTATCCAAACTACCATATCTGGGTTATGGACCATCGAGATTTGCAGGAATGTGGGTAACATCACTTTTAGATGGTAGTTGGATAATTTTATCGAATACAAATGCAATCTACTTTTATTCAAGGCAAGCAAAAAAATCTCATCAGCCATCGAAAAAAAATCAGTAACAATCAATATAAACTTACAGAGCTGCAATTATATGTATAATCAGCATGGATTGCGCACAAAACTCCTCACATTCACACAACCATTTTTTGCAGCATTAATTTTGTAGCATTGGGAACCATTCCGTTTGAAGTAAAACGAGAAATTTGCTCAATTTTCTTTACTACTCGCGGTACACAGATGGTCATTTTCCAATGAATTGTAACTTTTCCGAAAGTGAACAAAATCTGAGTCGACCCTCATCTAAAAGTTGAGCTTCAAGAGACCAGCAACAAAATTTCAGATAGGGAGGTCCCGAATGAGGGCCTAACAAGCATTTGTTTCCGAGAAAATAAAAAATGATCACAGGAAATTGAAATTGATGATATTCTTGCCCTTAAATTGATTTCTAAATGGGTTGACAACGAGCATGCTGAAAAGGAAGGCAGGGTCTATTTGCCCAATTTAGTCTCTTACTTCTTTTTAAAGCACGTCGTTGTATTTTTATTGATTTCCTCTTTTCCAAAAGGCCTACAGAAAATTCGAGTTACGCAGCTGTGGAGGGAAACCTTTGAGTAAGGATGGTTTTTAATCCATGATTTTCAATGGAATTCAGACAGGGGACTTGAAAAAAATATCGACATCGATATATTTCGAGTTATGGAGGTTCACCTGCAATAAAGAAAGAAATCTTATGTTTATTTTGAACAATTTAACATAAACCTTCTTTCCATATCGTCTTGAAGTTTACATATCTCCAAAAAAAAATAAAAAACTCGAGATATTTTACAGCAAAAGAGGCGAATAGATCCATGTTGAGCTGCTTTCCGAAGCCTCACTATATCCTTTTTTATTTTATCTTCATTTTTCACATGCATAGTAATAACTGGAGCAAATTCATGGCAAATACTTTATCTATCCACTTCTGTTCCATGAAAAAATACCGAAAGCAGCAGTGCTGTACAGTTATCTAGAAGATGATCCTCCAGATAAAAAAAGAGGAAAACAGGATATCACTCTGCGGATCTCTTCGATAGGCACGAACACAGCAAGCTCTTCAACACTTTCTGAAAGCCCCTTATTTGTTCTCATACGAACGCACATACGCCATCATCCCGCAGAACTTGACCACAGAACATCCGGTGCGTTGTATATGTACTGTATATCCCGACTTCACAATCCCACCCCACCAGGAATTCCCACCAACCGCGTTCACCACTGCTTATGTTTTGAATAATTAAATTAAATTATTGGGTTTTGTTCCGCGGCAAACGCAATCATAGTTCCGGAGGTTGATTCCTCAAGCGCGGCTGTCTATAGAATCCCACGGTTTCTATTGAAGCTTGAATATTTCCCGGCAACGCACAAATATTATTCTGTATTTTGTTCTTTGAATACAGTACTGTGCGTGGTTTCACGACGTTCTGTCCTTTGTTTTCCATCGATGAGATTATTTCATGATCATTACTATAAGAGGTGGATTTCCACGAAACGATTCAAAGTCTGCTCTACCTCACATGTGAAGATTAAAAACGAATTCGCTGACGCCGATGAACGAAAATACCATTATTCTACTTTGAAATTCATCTTCTAAGATTGTCGAGTCTTCCTGCTGGTTTTCATTTGAGCGGCGAGGTTTGCGTGTGATGAAACTGAATTCCGTTGGTTTTCCATACCATAACAAAATAAACACGTGGGAGACAACTCCGCGTAACGTATGACCCTCTGAATTATTATATTTCCCTAAAAGCTAATCTGGCTTTTGTATCATGCGCAATACTTCGTTTTTGTGCCAGATTTGCTGGAACAGTAAATGCAGGATGATGACGTCATATAGGACAACACAAATTAATGGCACAGCGACTCTTTTTTGTAAACGATATATACATGTGCGCGTCCGACGGACAAAAAGTCAAACCACGATTTAATGCCATAATTTGTCCTGGCAAATATTCTGTTACTAAATCGGGGTTTTTTAAATAGAGGATGATTTAATTGAGGGCTTTTACTATAGGTCGAATAAGCTTATTTACAGAAAATGTAAGCCATTGCGCCTGTTTTTTCAAGAGAGAAAGGCGCAAGAAATACTTTGAGGCTCCAAGGAATTGTTCTTATACAGTATTTTAGTATGTAATAATGCAGAATTTCTTGAATGTTTGCACATGTTGTGCCAAGTAAAAGAGCAGACCTGCGGTTAAAGACGTGTTGTAATAGTTGTATCAACCTGTCAGTAAAAGTAAACAATTCTATCGAAAACCAACTAAAGTGATTTTTAATTATTTCAAAAGCCTACTCTAACTATGGAGATGCCTCTCACTGTGGACATCCACATAGTACCACCCAGCAATTATTGTACATGTAAATTCAGAAGTATAATTTTAAAATTATCCTGAACAGGGGCACGGGCTTCTCAGTAACTCAGTAAGGGCTGAATAATACCCCTCGAGATAAAGGCCTTACTATTTTCTTCAATGTGGGTATGTTATTTATTCGGGACAAGACATTTTTTTACGCATTTAGTTATTTCACACCAAATCGGGGTTTTCTTCCAGAACAACCCTATAAATTTGTTCGAGGGACATCTTCGGCACAAAATCGAGGGTTATCATCAGAACGCACAGCATTCCAGCAGTTTATCACTGTAAAGTACAGTAGTAGCAAATAAAACGCGATTGCTTTTTCTCAAAAATTTTGAGAATTGTTAATTAACAAACGAATCTGACTCACGAGCACCACACTGGCAATATGGGGATCACAGAGAATATTTTTTCCTTCACACAGAGCAGAGCACCTTATCGCTCTCTCACTCAGATCAATGATTCGTATCGCCGGCAGCAGCAGCACATCAGGAGTCAAGACCTGGTGTGGGACTCTCAGTACCGTAAAAAAAAGGCACGAATATGTGCAGGGTTCTGAAGCAGATCCCACTCTGTCTCGGTCGTTGATCACAAGCCCATACAGCTCTGCAAACCTCCCCCCTCACAGTCCTCAGCATCCCACCCCAAATGGCGCAGACGCCTCCGACAAAGCCGACAGAAAATCCCGACGCAACCCACCGACTGCAGCGTACGACGATGGGGGAGGGAACCATGGTTGGCGATGTCGACAGCCGGGTTTGTTGGGTGTACGTAACCCCCCTTGGACGACAGATCAGACAAAAAGAAAAAGTTCCAGAGTGGACGGGAAAGAGCATGAAACATACTACTGTACTACGTATATATGCATTCTGAAGTTTCCTTTCAACCCCTCTCTCTTTTCACGATGAGAGATGCATAAGCGATCATTTGTTCGATGGACATCTTATGCACTAAATCGAAGGTTGACTTCGAAAGAACATGACGCGACTTCGGACTTACTGTACGCATTTTCGTCCTGCTCTTTTCGGAGATGCGTTAACAAATGCCATCTTTACACGCCGATCATTTCCAAAAAAAATGTAACTTTCAGAAATCCAAGATCATATTTCGAATTTTCGTGTACTGTAAACTGTATACACATTTACATATGATGCGAATAAGTCACAGTCCCCGAACTAAATCTGGCTTCGTTTTAGAATTTTTGGCGCGTCTCAGATTTGCATTTAAAAATCTAGGTCGGACGAAAAATGTACGCATTTGAAAAAATAGGGCATGCATGGTTGATCAACCATTTCAAATGAAAATACAGTACCTTGATATTATATATATATCTGTGAATATAATTGGATAACAAAGCGGCATATCCTTATTGAATAAAATTCACGCGTTTAAGAAAGGTACTGCGCTCATATGATAATCCGCATCAACGAACTTGCTGGTACATGAAGTGTGCATCGATTAATTCAGCAAAGATTAAATTAAATTAGAAGTAAGTGAATTATAAATGTAAGTTAAATTTTTACCAAGGCGGTATGCACCGCTACACACCCAAATGAGTAATGTTATCCCATTTTTGCTAAGATGTAAAATATTAATTTCCTCCAGAAACATGCTTCAAAATTTCCATTAATTTCAGAATACATGTATATATCTGGCTTTCTCAATCTTTACATGAAACTTGGCGAGCGTTTTATATTAGCCCACCAACTAAAAACTATAAGTCCCACAAATTGTTAAAACAAGATTTTTGAATTCGCCAACACATCAAAGAGGGGCGAAAAGATTGCTATGAGTATAAAAATAAATACTTTACAGTATTCCGTAAATTAAGTAATATATTAGTACCTTGATCTGATTAAGATTGCTGGTATGGTAAAAGTTATTTTAACGAAAAAAAAAAATCAATGTACCAGATAAATCGAATTATTAGACAGTAACTCAAATTTAAATTGGGAGTAAAATACCTCGTATGGCACGCTTTTAATAGCCTGTACACATCGCATTTATGTCGGACATAAATCTCTGTGCTGGCTTGAACGATAAAATAAGAATTCAGTTCATGCGCACCGGAATCAAAAATCCTGAAACAAAATTCTCTAATTTTAACACGTTTTTATTAACTCGCTTTCTTGTCCGTTTGTTTGTCAGGATCAAATTTTGCAACTCAAATTTCGCTCACTTCCCGACTAGCTAGCAAGCTGAAACTTTCAGTGAAATACAAATGAAATAGATGCGCACCAGGTTTAAGGTTATTTTTTGCTTTTTGAAAACATGGTTTTTTAGATTAATTTTTTAATCTACTAAATTTTTTTGTGCTTTTTAGTCTTACTTGAAAAACGTGGTTTTTTAATCTACTATAATTATTTTATTTTATAGCTTCATTTGAGAAAACGATCAGGAATCTCAGATTATTTTAAGAACATCATGTTTTCTTCTTTATTTTGATTCGATACTCTTCTTCCGACTTGAAAGTCGATTATTGGTGCGATTGGCTCGCATTATCAGTTTTTCTGCAGTGAAAAGTCGATTTAAAATGGTGATCGGAAGAAGCGATTGTTGTCAAGAACTTCTTTAAGTAGCTGACACGTCAAAAAGAGGAGAGGATTATTCTTCGGTTTCCGTTTGATTCAAAAGCCTCGGTATACTCGTCAGTCGCGACTGCGTATCCTTGATCAGATTTCAAGAAATATCGACTGATGTTCTTTCTATAAATGTTTCACAGGAGAAGGTGTTCTCAAAGCATGAATTTAATCAGGTGCTTGGTTCTGTGCTCCTTCATTTGGACGACTTGTGCCGCGGATCAGAATGTCGAAGCCTACTCCATTGCTTCACAGCGCTCGGTAAGTTCTTTGTTCGATAACGTTTTTTTCTCTCGCTAATATTCAAATTATCGCAGGACAACAACATTGATCGAAGAACATACAACGTACCTCTTTCTGAAGTTCGGTACCAAGGACCGTACGGAGACCAACAAAGATTGCCGAATTCAATTCAGGCAACAGAAGAAATAATGGAGAATCCATTCATCGCCAACGGAACAGTCCGCCAACATAGGTATCGAAGTACAGGTAAGATTTTCTTGAAACTCCCGCTGTCGCCAACGCTACCCTATCTTCGTAGAGGCAAATTTTAAAATTTTGTAATTTTTAATCGACGACTGGTACGAACCATACAAAAAAGAAGCGCAAGTTGATCACATTCAGGGCAGTCCAAGAGGAATGGATTTTGGTCAAAAATATCCAAGACAAAATAATTTCAACCGCGAAGATCAGGAGTATTCGGGAGCCTTCCAGAGGAAGACTTCCGAAGACATTACGGACATTTCGTCATCAAACACGGCTCCGGATGATGAGAACCTGCCGGAAAATAACGTCAAGTAAGAACCTCGTTCCGTCCGGAAATTCATCATGCTCGTTATATCCTTATAAATTGGAAAAAAATAATTACGCATTCCAATTCAAAATGTTTCACTTGAGCAAAACTGCGACGATTTGCTCACACTTTTCGACTATACATGCTTTTTTCTCAGCAGGCTTCGGCAGGAATTCACTCTGAAAGTTATGTAAGGATAAGAAGAGTAGTTTCGTGCGCCTCCATCACAAAAATAAATTGACCTTTCGGTACACTTCTCTACAAAAGAATAAATTGACTATCTCACGTTCCTGTAGATTTGTAGAACAATTATGTCTAGAACAGTGAAATGCATAATTCCGACGTCAAAATGAATTTATTGATTGGTCGGACTTGCAAGTAACATTTCTGAAGCCGTACGCTTCCGTGTAGTCAGTTTCAAGGTAATACGCAGCATTCTCGTCTCTGGCAAACGTTTTCTTGGAATTAGTTCGAATCAAAATTTGTGATCCGCACAAATTTCGATATCTTTTCGGATACTTCGCAAAACTCCGAAAGTTCATCTTTGTTTTCACGAGAAACAACTTCTCGTTTTCTCAGGAATCCAGCACAAGGAACACCTCGTGCGCCGAAGAGGCAACCATTACCAAAACCGAAGATGAGCCAATCGAACGGAGTCGCAAAAAGATTAAACATAAAAAGCAAACAAGCTAAACAACTTCGGTATACCGGACCTGTCCCAAAACATCAAATCGTTTTCGTAAAGGGACTCAGAGGGTACCACTTTTTCCGAAAACCGGCTATAGTTCGTACCCCAACCGGAAGTTTGCTCGCGTTTGCGGAAGCGAGGCGTCGCAAGGACAGCTTTTCTGACGTGATGATTCTCATGCGACGCAGCCTAGATCAGGGGAAAACTTGGAGCAAAGCCGCCAAATTGGTTAAAGCCAAAAAAAATCAAACCTTCTTCTCGCCTGCTCCTGTGGTTGACATGAGGAATGGAGTAGTTTCTGTTCTATTCACCTTGAGAGATGTAGTTCCGAAAAAGGTTAACGACAAGATAGAACAGAGGCCTAGACAGTCAGTCTGGGTGATCAGAAGTACAAATGATGGCACATCATGGACTGCATTGAAAGAGGTGAGGTTTCATCAGTAGACATGCGCAAGGCAGACATAGAGGGATAGGAATGTTAGCTCGGAGTTCATGCATTCAGAGCCTACCATCCGAAACTGAGAACAACCGCAATGATTTTTCATCCGGTTTCAACACAGCATGAAATTTCTGCTAAAAATAAATTCGCCTGAAGAGCAGGTAAATTTCTACCGATTAGTTGAAAAAATATAACACGACATGTTGTTAAAAAAAATGAACCCATTTAAAGCTGCCCAGGTGTGAGAAAAATTAACCTACGCATTGAAAGATTTACGCAAGTGTAAATCGCATCTAAATTTTGAAATGAGCAGTTTAAAAAACAAGAACGGCAGACTTACCGTGACACTTCTTGGTTTACGTATCCTATACATGAACAAAGCTTTTAATCGGGAATAAGATAATTTCTCGCGCGACCATTATTTAAGCTTATAAAATCCCACTGAAATGGCGCATTACGCATTCTGAGTGGGAATGAGACGGAATGAAGCATGCATTTTCGTTATTTTATAGATGCTGTATCATCTTACATATGATCCGCCCAGTTAAATCGAGGTCGTGTGTTTAAACTGAAATGAACCAAGTGTGAAAGCCGCACACTAAACTTTCTGATCATTTGAAGAAAACTGATTTTGTTAGCCTAATAAGTTAGTCATAGAGAAGGGTCATCTTGAGAAGTCGCGAGTTACGTAGTCGACATGTTATGTGAGGCAGTTGGCATAAATCCCCTGGAACAAAGAAATCCGTCCCACACAAATTGCTTTCTAGACCGCAACACGTTCCGTCCCCAAGGCCATCGGGTAATAAATGCGGAAGTAATTTTCTGAGAATCAGGACAAAACTAAGAAAATCTACCCAAGATATCATCTGTTCACCGGAACTTGTTTCGCCGGGATTCAACGATCTCTATCTTTCTCGCAGATAACAAGATCGGTACACAAAAAGCCCCAAGAAGAATATTACACAGGACCTGGACATGGTATCCAGTTGAAGAGCGGCCGATTGCTGGTCCCTTGTTACACCATGAATAAAAATGCAAAGAAAAGGACCTTCAGGGCACACGTTGTTTTCAGCGATGATGGTGGTATCTCATGGAAACGTGGAGGTAATAGTGCCGTCGGCACTGGTGAATCGTCCGCCGCTCAACTCCCCGATGGCTCAGTCGTCCTCAACAGCCGACAAGGAATGGGAAAGCAAGTTAGTAACGCCTGAACTGAAATCCCTTCCATTTGTTAAGGCTAAACCAATAACTCATTTCGTATTTTCCAGAAACGATACTTGGCCTACAGCAAAAACGGTGGTTTATCTTTCCAACGCGGGATGTTCCATAGCCAGCTCCCCGAAGAAATGAACGGTTCACCTGCAAGTACGCTGAACGTTGCGGCCGGGAAACGAAACGCTCTTGTTCTCCTACAATCCCATAAGAAGAATCTAACATTGCGGGTGAGCTCTAATAAGGGGCAAACATGGAAACTATGGAGGAACATCGGCCCTGGATGGTCAAGCCACGTTGACCTTGCCTTCACAAAGTTAGGGTATTTGGCTGCCGTCTTTGAAGCAAAGCAGGAAACCATCGGTTTCACCAGCTTCCCTCCGGATTGGAAGATATGAAAAACGGAATGAAAATACACACTTCATCGCTAAAAAAGGTTACAGATTTAGAGTCGCATGGTTTTCGAAGGTGAATTTGCTCGACTACTCTGGAAGAAAGAACACGAACAAAAATGCGCTGAAATTGACAGGTCCATAAGGAATTCTTTAGTTGCATCTGAAGGGCGAACATTCCAAATTTTCCAGGCAGTCGAATAGCTCATTTCCAGCAGTAATGCAGGACTCACGCTGAACTTTAACATGATTCATCGGCATCCTCTCGTGACGCGCAGCTTCTAATCCACAAAACGTACTTCTGAGCTCCGTAAAAATCATACAGGATCAAGATGAAACCATTCAACCACATTTGAGATTTGCTCGAAATTTTCAGGTACTAAATCATGTAGGCTGACGTCATGTTCCCTGATTCATCAAAACCAAACTGACCATTTTATTCACGCTGTAGCCGTTCACTTCAACGCATATCGCGAACCCGATGCACCGATTTCAATTATCTCAGCACAGTAACGAGGTACAGGTTTCCACCATTTCTTCTTTTGCATGTCGTAACAATTTGGAAGCCTGAGAGAGAGAAAACAATTCTACGTGACTTAGCATGGATCATGAAACAAATACCAACTTACTTCTTTTGCCACTTTCCACTAAATTTATTGTAGTAGCCTGCTTTGAGCGATGGTTTTCCATCAAGACTGCGAGCATGGCAAATCCCGGAAAAGTGCTGGTCATGGTCAACTTGAGATTTGCTTGCAAATTTCAACTCGCAGATCTTGCAGCTCGCCTGCCAGTCAGCTTTGGGTGGTTTGAGAAACGCATTCCGCCGAAATTCATCTGGTAGCTGTAATCTATTCTTGCGACAATAGATCATCATGAACTTCCGCACTTTTCTGGCATGAGAAGCATTCATTTTGTGCAGCTCCTCTTGAGTTCTGTTCAGGATTCTCACAGAACAAAGGTAACAGTAATCCGGTTGCATCATATCTATCAACTCTTGCGGCATACATTCAGACCTTCCAACTCGCGGAGACGACGGTGGTGTCCTTTAAGAAAGACAGCCGTGTAAGACATTGAAAACTCAGAAACCAAAACGGGCATATCCTCACGTAACACCAGGAGGGGGAGGTTCTTCATTTTCCGCGAAGTCCAAAAAGTCGAGCACTCCACGATCCAGATTCTCCTTCTGACAAACGGAGGTAGCATCTAAGTTGCTTTGCGGAGGGCAGAGACTGAGAAGGTTCATGTTGGCGTCTGAGATGCGAATACCCTCACATGACGGATTAAAGCTCGCGGGACATCCAGCCTGAAAATACGCCACTTTTCGGCAGCTACAAATAATACCTATGAATTCTTTGTAAAAATGAATTGATAAGTTCTCTAGGATACTCACAAAACATCGTTGTTCTCCCCTAAGGGAATTACAGCTGGCGCGGAAACCATCACGTCGGCATGGATATACGCGGACCTCCCAAAGAGACAATTACAGGCAAAAAGTCACGTTTTTTTTTATCCAACCTTCGCAGCTTCCTGGGAAAGAACATGCAAAGCATTACTACAAACAACAACCAACTTCCGATTCCCCGGTTCCTACACCCAACACACATCGAATGAAACGAAGCACTAACAAGAATCCACGAGTCTTTTGCGCGCCGAAACCAGCGCTTTGCTTTCGAGGATATGCGTGGCGGTTACTAAACGCTGGTGATCCTGTGTGCGAACTCTCATGCTAACAGATTGTGTTCAGAAGCGTAAATGCATTAATCTTTCTTTGTGGTACAGATCAATATCACTTTCAATACGATTCCTTTCAGATTACAAGAGTATTTCCAGAGACGGCTTTTTCAGAATTTATTTTCCCAAAACCAGTGTTTCCTCGTCTTGATTTTGTTCCTGGTGGATTCTGTTTCAATATTTTCTTAACAACTTTCAGGTGCAAGCTTTATACAATAGTGCAGTAGTATAATTATACAGTAGCACATATAAATCAGCTTTTCATTGAAGAACTAGTAACACAAATCTGATTTTTCTTGTCCTATTTTCACCTCTATAGAGAGAGTTTGGTTCCTCGCCCCACAAAAATAATTCATTCCAGGATTCATTTTGTTTTGTATAAAGATTTTGTCATGTGCATCGCAAATTCCCTTAACGTTTCATCCATAAAATGATATTTTTTCCGCATAAACGAAAAACCTGAACCTACTACCAAAAAATAGTCAATTCTACAAGTTATGGGGACACTGAGTGGTTCTACTCTGTAATAAAATTGCCTCAACAGATTCATATCCCTGAATCATGTTTCTCCCTACAAATTTTCTTTCACATCACAGATTTAAAGCTGTTTTATTTTTTGACTATCATTTTTGTGATCCATTTTTGTTGTTTTTTTTCAGGGATATTGGCAATCACATGAGAAATTTGATTTTAAAAAATCGAAAATTGAAGCATCGGTAAATATATTGCCCCAATAAATTACACTCGTCAATTATTTTCCGTAGTTTCAAATGTTTAAAAAATAATACATTTTGTAATTCAAGAACTTTCTTCTTTACAATTTTGTATGCGGAAATAATTTGTGAAGTGTGTCACTTTTTCCTCACGCTGTGGACATTTCGTAATGCGGATTAGTTTTAACGCCAGACGAGATTCGTTAAGAGGACCTCCCTATGAATTCTGGAAGATGCGTCAGCACAAGCATGAAAAAAATCAGATCAGCGACAAACTAGTTCAGGATTTTCCTAAGCAAGCAGTGTATTACATGGTATTAACAGCAAAAAAAAAGGAATCTATATTTATGACCGCTTCAAACAAATCGATTGAAAGAATAATCCACTATATAATAGGCTTCATTCTAGCCGACCACAATGTATAGATAGAATCACGCGCATGCACTTTGATCTTGCCGCTGGATAAGTGGCAAACATTCCTTCATGTTTCTTGTTGTTATCTTCGGTTCACCAACATCAAGCAAATGCGAGAAAAATGAAAACAAATAAAGTAGCAATCTATATCATGCGGTTTGTTGTCGAATTCACAGAGAAGATGTTGATCAGCTTCCAGCAGCCAATACGCCTGCTGTCATCGTGACCACCAGATCCTGTGGTTATCTGTGATTTTCACACCTTTTTCTCTGCTGTAGTCTGCATCGAGACGATCTTTATTTGGTGCACAAATATTATTCCCCGAATCAGAGAGTTCGAATTTCGCGGACAAGAAAACCAGCAGGAAAACCAACAGGCCCACTTTAGCACTCGCGGTTTATCAGCGAATATATAGATACGCGTCTTTTTGATTCAAGTGTTTTTTTCAATTATTGTTGTACACTTTCAGGTTAATTTGAATGAACTGCACTCTTTCATTTGTATTTTCGGATGAAATTTCCTGCCCATGCATTTGCGTCTGAATACGGTTTGGACAGAATTTAGTTTGTTGATGCAGACTTTATTCTCACGTTTGTCAGCGGCGGTTTATCACACGCGTTTACACTTGATAAAGACCGATAATGGTTGATCATGATGTCCGGTCACACTGACTAAAAAAGAAGAATAATAATACAGTACAAAATAAAAACACAAAGAAAAAGTAAAATCTCAGGACAACGGCTACGTACGTCAAGCAGATGCAATGCCAAGTCACAACCTGTTTTGTTCTATTGAAAATGAGTGACTTATTCAGCTTTTCAAAAAGTGCTGAGGACTTATTTGAAGAACTTTGTTATAATATTCGTGCAATTTTTTCGTGGAAAAGAAGTGGGAACACAGTTGTGATCGGTGAACTGATTTTTAATGAGAATGTAATAATTTCCGTAATGATGCAATCAAAACCACCACAGGAACATGATTAGTCCAGTTTGATGGAAAGGTGAGTAATGCAAATTATGTGTCTTGATAAGCACCCTAGGCGCTGTCAAATTCTTCACACATTTTCACGCAAGATTCAATTATTGAGTGATAGAATTTAGTTGATGTACCTTATGATTCAAAGATGCATTACAAGTTGTTTCATGTCCTATATACGCACAATATTTTTATCCCCCAAATTTTTTGCGTTGCAAAGAAAAATTGAACACTTGAGTGTTTCAATCATTCCCTTTTTGTATCTTTGCCCAATTTGAGTGACCTTTACTGATTTTTGTGAAGTCTCAGTTTATGATAGAGAAATGAAACTCAAAACGTTGGCGAATGTTTTGATTACTGACGTCTATAATTGCTGCTGAAATCTGCATATGGAGGGAAGAAATGAAATTAAAACACATTAAATGAAGCTATTATTGATTAATTAATCTCGAAGGATCAGGCATTATTTTAAATACCGCAATTCTTACGAGAAAAATCCAACAAATCTCTAATGCTTAAAACTATCACGCACGTGAAAAAAGTGAAAATTTTGACTTTGCAGCGGAAATCAGAAAACCATTTCATTACGTTAATTGAGTCGTTTAAAAAACTTTCCGTTTTGTCTCAGGTCTTGGAAATCCAGCTAAGGACGGTTTAGGGGATGGATCGGAAAATGCCGTCAATTTTCAAAACGCTTTTCACAACTCTGGTCCTTTTTGTAATAGCTTCTTGTGCAAAAAATCGACGGAACATTCTTGTGAGAGCAGTTTTCAAATTAATTCATGTTTATTCGACGTTTACTGATTACTTTTTGTTCAATACATTTCCTTTTCTTCGAGAAAAGCCAAGTGATGTCACAAATTCTCCTGACGAGACATTGACTTCCAGAGTATTCTTCCACTACGATTTCAAGAAAAATACGCAGCGGTCTGTTCCGCCGCATTATATTAAAGATTTGCTGACCCACCCGTCCAGGTCTCGGGTCAGCACAGAGCGGAAACGACTTATTTACGCACTGAACAACAATCCGGAAAATCCCAAAACTTTACTAAAGCATATCCAAAAACCCGGGGAAACAAACAATAATGTGTTAAGAAGGGGTGGCCTTTTTGAAATCATCATTCCGGAGGACGTCGCTGCTGAGGTCAGTACTTCGGGTTGCATTTGCATGTTTGTTTTGCTTCAGAAACCCACCAGTCTTCCACCGAACAAAACTCATTGTCATGAACTAAGAAACACATATTTTTAACTTACAGTTTATAATTAATCCAAGTTTCTGGATGCAGCAATTAAAGGACGCTTCAGGACGGTTTCCGAACAAACGAAAAAAAAACGTATTCACGTGGAGCTCAATAATGTGAGGAAAAACTGGATATTTATTTTCACAAGCATGCAAACTTGTCAACTTGATCCTTTTTTCGCAAACGCATAATTTGAAAGTCATTCAGCTGTTCCTGGAAAATCGCATTTGAAGTTGCTTAAAGCATTTGCCCCAGGAAGGCTTGAAATTGCTGAAACGTTTAAAAAATGACTGACGATACTGCAACGATTCTCGTGAAATAAGTCAGATCGGAAAATGCATCAGCCAGCTCCAATAACATGATTCATCGCCAAAAAATAAAAATCAACGTAATTAATCTTTATAAATAATAATGAGGAAAGATATTAATTTATTGAATCACTTTGGAAATGCAATTCCAAGATTTTGCATTGCCTACAAAATCTTGAAGTCGGAAAATTGTATCCATGTTCTATAAAGATGAGGGAGGATAGCTCCTTAGAACGGCGGAAATCCCGCAAAAAGAAAAAGAAGAAGAGGAAGAAGAAAAAATCGAAGTTGAAATCTTGTAAAAGAAAAAACAAAGAAAAAGAAGAAACTACGGAAACATCAATTCCCTACAACGATGAAAGCGATGGTCCGAAAAGTGAGCAGGAATTTTCGCTGGACTTTTTGGAACTGAAATCAGAGGACGAGTTGTTGGATGATGACATTCGACTTCCGGAGATATCCAACAACTTCCACGCAGGTCAGCAAATGCTGTACACATGAAATCATTTTAATTCTGAAATTCATAATGGAAGCTAATTGACATTTTTGTGAGCCAGGTGACGAGAAAAGCACCCGTCATCAAGAGAAGAAGAGCACGCCTCGTGCAATAACTGCTGACGATTATTCGACCACAAATTCTACACGGCTATTTTTGGAAAGGTGCGTTAAGATATACATACAGTACCAAATAACTCGCCAAAGTTTAAAGTCCTCCAAATTTCAAGCTCATTCTACGGTTCTGATGTTGGTTGTCAGAAACTTAGTGCTTCAAAATAATCGAAGTTTTTCGGATGAAAATTCAAGAACTTCAGCCAATTTTTTACTTACAGTATTTGCACGCGAAAATAATTTTAATCAAATGAATTGCATAAAACGATTCCTATATACAGTACTTTGACGAATACATTACAAATTTTCAAAAAATTCATGAATGTAAGACTATTGTGACATCAATTATTCAAATAAGAATAATTGAACGAAGCTTGAGACTGTGATCAATTCTATGTGCAGCATTCAATTCTTTTTTATTTATTTAATAGTCGTAATCCAGGACATTTTGACCAATTTTAGTCATGGAGATAAAGTTCAGGTTTAATTCTTTCAAAAAATAATGCTGAGCAAAATACAGTATTTTTAATCTCCTTGGGAAAGCTGAATGCAAACCAATAATTTGGGTTTAATCATAGAATACCCATGCGATTATAATTGGAGAACGGATTGAAACTTGAAAAAAATTTCTTCTGGTAACCTTGATATGTATAGCTTAAATTAAAATTCATAATCTGAATTTCTTGGAGACACTATAGGGACTTCGGGAGCATAATGTGTTTGTTGGTGTAGAAAATATCTCAACAAGTATCCAAGTCAGGATGCAGGAAAACCAACAGGCCCACTTTAGCACTCGCGGTTTATCAGCGAATATATAGATACGCGTCTTTTTGATTCAAGTGTTTTTTTCAATTATTGTTGTACACTTTCAGGTTAATTTGAATGAACTGTACTCTTTCATTTGTATTTTCGGATGAAATTTCCTGCCCATGCATTTGCGTCTGAATACGGTTTGGACAGAATTTAGTTTGTTGATGCAGACTTAATTCTCACGTTTGTCAGCGGCGGTTTATCACACGCGTTTACACTTGATAAAGACCGATAATGGTTGATCATGATGTCCGGTCACACTGACTAAAAAAGAAGAAGAATAATACAGTACAAAATAAAAACACAAAGAAAAAGTAAAATCTCAGGACAACGGCTACGTACGTCAAGCAGATGCAATGCCAAGTCACAACCTGTTTTGTTCTATTGAAAATGAGTGACTTATTATTCAGCTTTTCAAAAAGTGCTGAGGACTTATTTGAAGAACTTTGTTATAATATTCGTGCAATTTTTTCGTGGAAAAGAAGTGGGAACACAGTTGTGATCGGTGAACTGATTTTTAATGAGAATGTAATAATTTCCGTAATGATGCAATCAAAACCACCACAGGAACATGATTAGTCCAGTTTGATGGAAAGGTGAGTAATGCAAATTATGTGTCTTGATAAGCACCCTATACGCGCTGTCAAATTCTTCACACATTTTCACGCAAGATTCAATTATTGAGTGATATAATTTTTAGTTTATGTACCTTATGATTCAAAGATGCATTACAAGTTGTTTCATGTCCTCTATATACGCACAATATTTTCATCACCAAATTGTTTGCGTTGCAAAGAAAAATGCAACACTTGAGTGTTTCAATCATCCCCTTTTTGTATCTTTGCCCAATTTCAGTGACATTTTCTGATTTTTGTGAAGTCTCAGTTTATAATAGAGAAATGAACCTCAAAACGTTGGCGAACCTTTTGATTACTGACGTCTATAATTGCTGCTGACATCTACATACGGAGTGAAGAAATGAAATTAAAACAATTTAAATGAAGCTATTATTGATTAAATAATCTCGAAGGATCAGGCATTATTTTAAATACCGCAAATATTCTTACGAGAAAAATCCAACCAATCTCTAAACTATCACGCACGTAAAAAAGTGACAATTTTGACTTTGCAGCGGAAATCAGAAAACCATTTCATTACGTTAATTGAGTCGTTTAAAAAACTTTCCATTTTGTCTCAGGTCTTGGAAATCCAGCTAAGGACGGTTTAGGGGATGGATCGGAAAATGCCGTCAATTTTCAAAACGCTTTTCACAACTCTGGTCCTTTTTGTGATAGCTTCTTGGGCAAAAAATCGACGGAACATTCTTGTGAGAGCAGTTTTCAAATGAATTCATGTTTATTCGACGTTTACTGATTACTTTTTGTTCAATACATTTCCTTTTCTTCGAGAAAAGCCAAGTGATGTCACAAATTCTCCTGACGAGACATTGACTTCCAGAGTATTCTTCCACTACGATTTCAAGAAAAATACGCAGCGGTCTGTTCCGCCGCATTATATTAAAGATTTGCTGACCCACCCGTCCAGGTCTCGGGTCAGCACAGAGCGGAAACGACTTATTTACGCACTGAACAACAATCCGGAAAATCCCAAAACTTTACTAAAGCATATCCAAAAACCCGGGGAAACAAACAATAATGTGTTAAGAAGGGGTGGCCTTTTTGAAATCATCATTCCGGAGGACGTCGCTGCTGAGGTCAGTACTTTGGGTTGCATTTGCATGCTTGTTTTGATTCAGAAACCCACCAGTCTTCCACCGAACAAAACTCATTGTCATGAACTACGAAACACATATTTTTAACTTACAGTTTATAATTAATCCAAGTTTCTGGATGCAGCAATTAAAGGATACGCTTCAGGGCGGTTTCCGAACAAACGAAAAAAAACGTATTCACGTTGGAGCTCAATAATGGGAGGAAAAACTAGATATTTATTTTCACAAGCATGCAAACTTGTCAACTTGATCCTTTTTTACAAAAAAAATAATTTGAAAGTCATTCAGCTGTTCCTGGAAAATCGCATTTGAAGTTGCTTCAAGCATTTGCCCCGACCAGGAAGGCTTGAAATTGCTCAAACGTTTACAAAATGACTGACGATACTGAAAAAATTCTTGTGAAATAAGTCAGATCGGAAAATGCATCAGCCAGCACCAACGTGATTCATCGCCAAAAATAAAAATCAACGTAATTAATCTTTATAAATAATAATGAGGAAAGATATTAATTTATTGAATCACTTTGGAAATGCAATTTCAAGATTTTGCATTGCCTACAAAATCTTGAAGTCGGAAAATTGTATCCATGTTTTATAAAGATGAGGGAGGATAGCTCCTTAGAACGGCGGAAATCCCGCAAAAAGAAAAAGAAGAAGAGGAAGAAGAAAAAATCGAAGTTGAAATCTTGTAAAAGAAAAAACAAAGAAAAAGAAGAAACTTGAGTTGTTGGATGATGATATTCGACTTCCGGAGATATCCAACAACTTCCACGCAGGTCAGCAAATGCTGTACACATGAAATCATTTTAATTCTGAAATTCATAATGGAAGCTAATTGACATTTTTGTAAGCCAGGTGACGAGAAAAGCACCCGTCATCAAGAAAAGAAGAGCACGCCTCGTGCAATAACTGCTGACGATTATTCGACTTCAAATTCTACACGGTTATTTTTGGAAAGGTGCGTTGAGATAAACATGCAGTACCAAATAACTCGCCAAAGTTTAAAGTCCTCCAAATTTCAATCTCATTCTACGGATCTGATGTTGGTTGTCAGAAACTTAGTGCTTCAAAATAATCGAAGTTTTTCGGATGAAAATTCAAGAACTTAAGCCACATTTTTACTTACAGTATTTGCACGCGAAAAATAATTGTAATCAAATGAATTGCATAAAAACGATTCCTATATACAGTACTTTGACGAATAGATTACAAAATTAAAAAAGCATGAATGTAAGACTATCGTGACATCAATTATTCAAATAAGAATACTGTAATTGAACGAAGCTTGAGACTGCGATCAATTCTATGTGCAGCATTCAATTCTTTCTTATTTAATTAATAGTCGTAATCCAGGACATTTTTGACCAATTTTAGTCAGGGAGATGAAGTTCAGGTTTAATTCTTAAAAAGAATAATGCTGAGCAAAATACAGTATTTTTAATCTCCTTGGGAAAGCTGAGTGCAAACCAATAATTTGGGTTTAACCATAGAATTCCCATGCGATTATAATAGGAGAACGGATTGAAACTTGAAAAAAAATTCTTGTAACCTTGATATGTATAGCTTAAATTAAAATTCATAATCTGAATTTCTTGGAGACACTATAGGGACTTCGGGAGCATAATGTGTTTGTTGGTGTAGAAAATATCTCAACAAGTATCCAAGTCAGGAACTTTTGGAATTTTTTTTATGATCTGCAAGGTTGTTTTTAATCATCTAAACAATTTTAATTTTTAGAGAAGTATTGGTAATTCATCAAATTATATTCAAAGTGTGTTGTCCTCCTAAATCCCCTGACTGAGAATTTAAAGGAACTGTGAGTCAAGTGTATAACTGTACAATATTTTATTATACACTGGCAGACAATACAAGACACAAGACACAAACAAACACCTCTAAGTCCAGAGGACTGAGAAACACAATTCTAAAGTTTAAAGCAACAATATATTTAGGTTAGCTACTCCTGAACTTTACTGGACAAACTCTAGAATGGCTTTGAGTGCAGGAGGAAAATCCTGCCATTTATATACTGCAAGAGAATAGAATAGCAGGGGACACTCTTGGCTGAGCAATCCTTGAGGACAAGGTTGCTGCCACTATCACTGGGGCATAAACTAATGATACAATGTGCAATCATTGTATCACACAATAATAATCACTGTGCAGCAGAGAGTGGAAGCTTTCACAAGAATGAGTAATGATTCTTGAGAAGGTCAGCCTTTTAAATCAGAGTAATGACTGTCCCATCATTACACATATGAAGGTTAGGTTGGGAAATAAGCTGCATTACCACAAGAGCTAAATTACAGGAAAATACTTTTCCTCTTCTCCAAGGATAAAAAGTGCAACTAGTTTAATCAACACTACAATTAACATTTAAAAAATAAAACATTGTCCTGCAAACGACGGGTAAAATCGAATGAACGTTTGCACAAAATGCAATAGTTCGCCCATTTCGTGAGTTGTTTGACTCAAATCAAATGTGCAAATCTGCTGATTTTTAAAAGCTATAGAAAATAGGGTTCTTTTAAAAGAGGAATGTCCGAAATTTTTGTTAGAAAGTAAAAAATTCTTTAATCACTAGAAGAATTTCTCTCGACTCTATTCAAGCCTACAGAAGATTGACGCAGCGGCGACGGAAACCCTGCCAAAGAAAAACGAGAACCCGAAGTCGAAGGCGTTCTACTCAACTCAGACCTTATTCAGGTACATCCTGCATCGCGAATTATAAGTTATATATACAGTATATGGATAGTAACATTATTCGGATTGCTGATTTAAGAAAAAATATACTGCACACTACTTGAAAAGAAAAATTCTTTTCCAGAAAAAAGGCACGCGTTATGTCCGGTCTATATACCACTACTGTACTTCATTCCTAAAATTCACTTGATGGATATGTAAAGAGTAAAAGGTATCGTGTACATTATCAGTAAATATTCGGAAATTTGAATTTATATGATGTATCCGGATTGAAATGCTACGATTGGGGTGGAATTCATTCAATCCTTAGAACAAACTTGGCGTTTTTCTTTGGACAAAAGAAAGGATTTTTAACCTTATGGAAAATCTCATAGTGATTAATTTTTACGATAATAATCCAACATACACATATCATCAATAATTTATTTCAATGAATGAAGTGATATATTTTTCAGGTCCTCGAATTGTAATTTTTTTCTTTTCCTTATAAGTTTTATCACGGTAGAATTCCGAATAAGAGTGCGAATTCCGTTTCATACATTTAAACGCCCCCAAACCCCCGTGTTGCTCAAATAATGGTTAATCAATTTAGGACAGCAGGTAATTCTTTCATTATACTATATACAAAATACAGTTACAGTATTATTTTATGATGAGAAATAATACAAGTCTCATCCTATAAGACGAAAGAAAATTCATTCGCATTTTTCTCATTTCATCGAGGCCTGCCGAAAATTAACGCGCTCTGTGATGAAAACTCATGTGCCGTCATATCCTAAGGATTCCAAATTACTCTTTACGACCTTTATTCTAATGAGGGAATTTAGAATAAAATTCAAGTACGGTACCATAAACTAACACATTATTTCACACACAGAAAAAGGTTATTAATTTGAGATTTATTACTGATTTCAATTTTTTGAGGCTACAGCATATGTGGTGTTGAAAGATTCATGCACCAAATTTGAACAGGGAGCGAACTGAAGGCTACCGGATGTTCCGCATCCCGACGATCGTCACGACGAAGTCCGGCACGGTGCTTGTGTTTTGTGAGGGGCGTCGACACGCAGTCCACGACCACGGGTCAATCGACATTGTTTACAGAAGAAGCAATGACAGCGGTCGGACTTGGGAACCCATGCGGGTTCTCATCAATGGTCGAGGCGAAGCCCTGAGTAATCCTTCCCCGGTGGTTGATGGGAAACAAGGCGTAGTCGTTCTCGTTTTTTGCAGGTAAAAATTTCCGATTTTGACCACTTCGAAGCAACAGAAAATATAAAAATTATGGCAAACTCAGGAAGACGTTCCGGGGGGCTTCTGATTTATCCCCACACTTCTGCGATTTATTCCCTTTTTGGCGCAATAATGGTCTTGATCATTTCTTGTATTCTACTTTTTTATTCTACATTGTTTTTTTTCTAAACCGTGTTCAGAAATTTCGTGAAGACGATGCATTTTTGGAAATCAGTACTCGTCTGAAAGTTTGGACTTCTGTTCTGAATTTCAGATCGAATTCCCTGGATAATTTGTTGTTGTATTCTACCTAGCTCGACAGTAGAATAAGTAACAGTGCGGTGTCCCTCCTTCGAATGCCTGACGTACATAAAAATGTTAAAGTACAGCATTTTTAAATTTTGCAGATCGAAGTCATGGGCGACAGAACCTATGATTCGTATCGGAGAAGCTTCTCATCGAACCGTTTGGGTGACCAGAAGTTTGGATGATGGACGGACTTGGTTCAAACCAAAAGAAGTAAGCTCAAATTTCAAATGATTCTTGCAGATTTTAACTACAAAACTATCCTACGAATATGTCCTTTCCTTCCCGAGCTCATGATTAAAACGATCCAATCTCAATTTGTTGTTGTTTTTATTGCGATTCAAAAATTAAATTCGATTAAATCAATAATATCCCTCCTAAGCAATGAAAAATTTCACACATATTAATTTACTTCTAGAATATACAAACTAATGCTAAGCGAGAATACGTGCCAAGTAAATTCAAGGGCACCAACGTTTTTGAATGCGGTAGATTTATTTTCTTCGTCCCAGTCTTCAAATTATTTTAAAATTGCAATGAACAAAACCACTTCTCAGACGAATGGAAGAAAGGAAAGAGGGAAATCGAATGACTGCCAAATGATCTGTTTTGCTGAGTTTTGCATGACTGCAACAGATGTCCCTCACCCTATTTTTTCTACTGCTTGAATTGCTCAGGGCTATTTTTCTTGATTCTATTTAAAATAAAATTGTGAGGGCTAACCAAATTATACTGCAGTTGAAGATACCACTCATCCAAATAATGCATGAAAAAACAAAACAAATTCCTTTTAAAACAAGAAAATGGCGTAAAACGAGTTCTCTAAAGGGTTTTAAGACAAAGTTGTTCAATACAGTAATTACAATTAGGACGGGGCAAGTTTCTACGTGTAGAATCTCTCTGCAACAAAAGTTTTTTTTTCCAAATAAAACGAATTTTTATTTTAGTACATGGAGGCTCTCTCCAACGAAATTCTCTCTAAAAAATTTTATTGTCCTCTTCTTTTTAAGAGAGTGTTCACCTGTATACAGAGTTTATGCGACTTCAGCGAGCTCCCAATGTTATTGGCAATTATTTTTATGTAAAAAAAAGTAGCTTACATCAGCGTGTGAGCATCAGTGGGTGAAAATGACACATCTGTATCTCACAAGGAACATTTATCCAAGTTAAAAAAAATTATACCTGCGGTTTACTTCTATAAAATGCAGATAACGAGATCAGTTCGTCTTGAAGATTGGTCCTGGTACGCAACTGGCCCTGTTCACGGAATTCAACTGAAATCAGGGCGACTTGTGGTGCCTTGCAATCACGTCGTAGGATTCAAGAGAACTGGTGGTTGGAAAGATCGCTCTCACGTCATTTACAGTGACGATTCTGGATTGACGTGGCAAATTGGCGGCTCGAGCAGATTTGGCACCAACGAAGCCACGATCGTGCAAGTCAGCAACGGCTCATTGTACCTGAATAGTCGAAATATGCTTCTAAAAAAGGTGGGCCAATTTCTTTGGCGAGGCGGTAGTTCTTATTTTTTCCTAATTAAGAACTTCCAGCCATTTCTCGACCCAACAAGTTCTAGCGAATTCTTCCGGTTTAATATTACTTTATTCCGAGAGTTTATCGTCGAGGAAATGGTTTAAAAAATATCAATTCGACGATACCCATGAAGTTGCAATTCAGTTTACTAAACCACATATAATTCATATGTAAAATAACAATTCTTTTATCAAATGGAAAATTTCGATGTAAAACACGTTCTCACCAGTGAATGTCGGCCTTCGTCGATAGTGTTTATTATTTAATCCCAGCAGCATAAGTGCCTGAGGCAATTATATATTTTTCCACAATGTAAAATATCATGAGACCTTCGGTTTTTTTCTGGTCCTGAAGAATTAAAAAGGTTTCTCAGCGAATGCCATTACCGCACATGACGTTTGACTTCTTCAGAATCTGAGTTTCTGCTGATTCTAATCTTTCATTCCACAGTCTGATTTCTTGGGAAACGAAACGAAGATTTAAAATCTTGCGTCCTTGAAATTAAAATGGTAATCCGACTTTTCGTTGAATTCTGTCAAATTGTATTCAAAAGATCGTCTTTCAAGGGCACTCGGCAGATCTTTAAGATATCAGGAAATGTCATGAGACGTTCTCAACGATAAGATTCGATCGAATCTTAGAAGAGTTTTTCTATATTTACGCTCATTTCTGGGAAAATGGGTGCTCTTTTTAAATGCTGTACAGGGCTTCACTGTACTTGAGTAAACGCCGTAAATGGCATCTGTGTTCTTCGTTATCTGTGTATTATACAATTTACCATAGAATATACAAGATGTCGCCCCACGTTTAAGACTGACAATATCCCGGAGAAGGCGTCAAAAGAATACCGGTATGCAATACAGTAATTTTATTTTCAACGCTACTTTTCAGGGGAAAAACTGCCTTCTATATTCTAGTGATTAATATAAAGACTAAAATCATGTTGTGTTTTTTAAATACAGCACAGAATTGCAGCTTGGAGCGACGATAACGGAGAAACCTTCCACGACGGAAAACTGGAGAGTACGTTGATCGAGCCCGACGGACACGGTTGCCAAGGCAGTTTGCTCCCTCTCACGGTCAACCGCAAAAAGGTCATTCTCTTTGCCAATCCGTCGACGAAGCAGCGAAAGCGCGAGAACGTGTCAATTTCCATCAGCTTCGACGACTGCGATTCCTGGGAATTCGCGAGAACCATTTACGCGGGTTCGTCCGCATACACGGACATGGTTGCCCTCAAGAACGGGATCGTCGGGTTGATTTACGAACGCGGATTCAATCATCCGTATCAATCGATTGCCTTTGATCAATTCAACCTCGATTGGTTATTCGAAATGCGCATAGCGAACAAGCTGATTTGAGCGAATTCCCCCGAAATCCTGCTGATGCGTCTCATTTCTTCCTTGAGAAAATTGAATCCGATTTAAATTTCATGCCATACTGCATAATTCTTTCAAAGTGATTATTCGATATACCCGCGTGGGAAACTGAAAGTTGTGCGGGCAAAACAGTTAAATAGATTTATTTCTAAATGTAGCATTAACCTTTACAGTTTTAGCTGGTTCCTATAATAACAACGAATGAACTTTGAATTCATTCATCAATCTTCCTTCATCAAGTGATTTTTCATTTTTGTGGTTCTGATGGTTGACTTTGTATTCCTGCAATGATATTTTGAGAACATCGAGCGATTCGGGCCGAAGCAAGTCGCCATGATCTTTCCTGTTGATTTTACTGCAGCTAAGAGAATTTCAAGATGAATACAAAATCCGCCGAAAATGATTGAGTATAATTTATACCCATATTTGGTTTGCCAAAACCTTACTTGATATCATTTTTGTTTACTTTTACCAGATTCGTCATTCTTAACTTCTTGATCGTGAGTGACTCTACCAAATGAAAAAATCTCAATTCTTATAAATCGCATGCTGGTTAAAAACGCCAAAAGTATCCCTCATCGAAATTGATGCGCGTGAAGTGGCATGCATAACAAAGATGAAAATCGATCATCGTACATTCATTCTTTTAATTCTCTTTCTCCAACACGAGTACAATTTATACGAGGTTAATCTGACCGCAAGCGATGTGTGTTCCAGAGCTGTTCAGAATGGATACATTTTTCTGCCTGATATTGTTTTTCCCGAATAATGAAGCATATGGGGCAGGCAAATTGTACACTGTCCCGACACCGACACCTTGAGTGACACGCATTGCACTGGTGATGATTCCTCCGTTGTATTGCTGAAAAGTCGGAAAAATCCAAGAAATTAGTTTTATTCCTTTCCTCTTCTTCGAGACCTGTTGAATGCAGCACTTTTGGAAGCCAGCATTATTTGGAACATTTTTATTTTCCTTCAAGGCCTCGAAATTAGGCGAAGATCTGAAGCGAAGGTTAGAAATTGATCCTCATTTTCCAAAACAAAATTTCAGCAGAGAACCCGAAGTATACATTTTCATAATGAATAAATCTCTTCATTTGTTTGCAATTTTATTAGGGGTTTCAGAGGCATCCTCATTGTTAAAAATGAGGCTTAAAATATTTAATTATTGTTAATTCCAGATGGAATCTTTTTAAGAATGTGTGTCGACTTTTTCCTCCGCAGGACACCTTCATAATGGAGGTGTGCAAATCCGAGATAATTAACTACTGCACAATACTGTACAGTACAGTAGTTGATAAGGAGACGTCATTGTTATTCCTTATTGTAAAGCAGTAAAATCAAAGATATTTGGCTTGAGTATAGATGTCGCTAACACTGAGATAATTCAGTTGAGAATTTAAAGGTTCGAAGGAAATAAATTACCAGGAACGGATTGTAGAGCACTCCTAAATTGGCGCAACGAGCGGTGAAGCCGACAGCCAAATTGACTGATCCACCAGTGTAAATTTTAATGTTGTAATCAGCGTTGGTAGCCGTGTTTCTTTCGTCGAAAGCCAAGACAACGAACATCGGGGCTCCCAGAAATCGCTGGAAAAAGACGATCGTGCCGATCACAGTCGGATTCTGGGATGTGTGCAAAACCAAATCAGCTTTCGCAATCAACGGATTCAAGCTCGGAACAGCGTCCAGAGAACCTGCATACAATTTTTTTCGTGGAAAAACGTAACAAGAGTCGCTGAAATGGGGAAGAGAGTTAAATAAGAGCTGCAATACTTAAGATATCAATTTTGATTGGGATTGGACGAGTGAAGCCACTCTCACTACATCCACGAGCACATTTTTAATGAAAAAAAATAACGCGAAACCTAAAGATTTTTGAAAAATTACGTCCCAGCTGGTTGTTGGAAGTGCAAATAAATCAAATTTTGAATACTGCCTTTACAGATATTTTACATAAATAGCGCTTGTCAAAGAAAATTTACCAGTTCAAAAGCCAGCAGGCCTTCAAAGAAAGTTCAATCTGTATCTCACCGTCTATCTATATGTTCAGACGTTTTTAAATTGGAAACTCAACTTTATGAAAAATACGCATTCAAATTTACATACAGTATTTTCTTTTTGAGAAATTTTGCGGACACTCACGGTTTTCGAGGTCCAGAGGATCTTCCGAATCGGGTCCAAAATTGTTGTAAATGTATTCCAGGGATTCAGAAGGAATCTTCAAACTGGCCTCAGCCAGCTTGAAAGCAACCAACTCTTGTAAGTTGCTTCGTTCTTGAGCCAAATTCGATGCAACCGAATCTGGTCGTGTACCTGAGAGATATTGCTGAAGGAATTCATTTCTTCCACCGATTACCACTCTAGGGATCACATGCAAGCAGTTAATGAGATCCAAATTTAATTGAAAAAATAAGAGTAGCTTCCAGAACGTTTGAACTTTCGCTAGTTTTGATGACATTCCAAACATTCCTTTGTTTGCGTCTGCAAATAGAAACAAAAATGCGAGGGTTAACAGCATCAGAGATAAATCCCTCGGTTCCACGCGATGAAATCTCTTCAACATCGTTTCAAGCGATATTGCAAGAAAGGAATTTAAAGATTTCAAACGTTGGCATTTATTATGTTCCCACAAGCGATGACAACATTATTCCTAACAAATGCGACTGATCGTCCAATTATCGTATTGGCGCTGAACAAATTTGCGACGGTGATGGGAATCAGTTCGATGAAAGTTGTGGCTCTTCCTTCGGCGTTTGTTGTCAAAGTTTGGCTCAGCACACCGCCATCGGGCACCTGAAAAATTTAAGTTCAATATAAAGCTAGAAAAGAATCATAAAAAAACTTGAAATTTAAGGTCAAATTTAGGGATGAAATGAAATTGGCTGAATAGAAGCACAAAGATTGAGAAATTGCGCGAAATCCAGCAGTGCTTTGGAAATATGAGCCACCCATGATATGAAGTGAAATGAGGCTGATTTTGGTATCGCATTTGGCATAATTCCTTGGAAAATGTGCATAGCTTACGAGAAAAATACGGATTTTATTTGTCAAATAAACAGTCTACTAAAATCTGATCAATGACTCGGCAAAAACTCTCATTAACTCATTAAGTAAGAGAACCAGATGCAACCTTTCTCTCAAAGAAAATCCGCTTTTCTTAAACTCATTGCGCAGTAATTATAAGAATAAAATAGAATAAATGTTCGAAGGAAAGTTGTATGGACTTCGATCCTGTTGAAAATCAGTCTACTTCTTTGTTCGATCTGCACTTTATTTATAGAATCGCTGTACATAAATCCGCCAGCCGAAAAATAAATCTCATTTCACCTCAGGCTGTATTTTTCGATCAAAATATTTCGGATAGCTTTGAATAAAAAAGGAATCAACATTAATTGCCTCCTGCAGCAAAAAAATAAATATTTTGAATTCAAAATGTGCTCACTGATGTTGGGTTGAAAATCGCGCCAACCGGTTCACAAATTCCCACATTGCCAGTGCCAATCGGACTCGTGCGGATTTCCACTCGAATACCAGTCGCAGCAACTCCTTCAGTCAGACTTGCAGAAATCGTTGCGTAAACTGGAGAAACCATGCTTTTCTGGAAGAATGTCGCAGTTCCGACAGCTCCCGGTGCTTCTGACAAAATTATAGTCGCCGTGGCAAAAATCGGCGTGACCGGTGAGAGGAGTGACACAAGGAATGGATTATTTTGTCCTAATAAAGAGAAAAAAGCCAATCATGAAATACAGAAATTCAAGTTGAAGTTTTCTCAAGAACTCACGGGATTGACGAAAGCCAGAGACACTTGACTTTTCCGACAAAAACGATTCGGATTTTTTCACCGCGAGACTCGAAGTCAATCCGATGAGAATCAAGCTCGTCACACAAAAAAGCAAATTGAAATTCATCTCTCTAAAAAATACTGGAACTTCGGAACGTTCCTAACATAAAATAAAAAATTCATTTGAAGCTTTATTCAAACAGCAGCGTTAAAAATAAACTGTTATGCGCCATACACATTTGCCGTTTATACAGAGAAGGCCGGCGAAAATTCAATGTCGTCCACTCGTCCATTCAATTAAAGCAATTAAAAGTATTTAAAAATTGAAAAAATTGTGTCATTGTAGAATTTTGAAAATGGGATGGAGTGAGATGTGAAAAAAAAGTCCACGGTCTCAAGTTTCAACCTCGATCAGGACAGACGCAGACTCCTCGACACCAGGTGAATCTGTATTCCAGCCCCAAATTCACGCACGAATTGCAAATTTGTCCCCAAATTCGGGAATTTGAGTCAGGATCGAATAATCAATGCCGACACTCACAAACAAAGGTAAACGATTTCTCTCCATTTTTCAACAGATGATGCGCGGTGCAATTTGAATTACTGATGTCTCTTTTCTTGGGTCAAACTCAACTCAGTGTTTGTTGTATAATTTATACCAAACTTTCGTTCCTCTGCTTTAATGATTACTGGAATTCGATAAGATTTTTCAAGAATTAAAAATAAAATCTCCCTGCACTTTTTATACATTTATAAAAAAACACACAAACACGCAAACACATTGAACAAAAAGTAATTTTCCATCTAAAGGAAAGTTATGGCGATTGAGAACATTTTCAAATTTCGGAATTAATTTTGAATGCTTCATGATTTCACAGTCAGAATTTCAAATAAATATTGACTGATATCTTCTAGATTCGCTTAAATAAATCTCGTCGAAGAAATTGAAGATGTACTGTATTGAAATAATCGGCCTGGTGTGTATCTGCCTTATTTTATCCCCTCAGGATGTAAAAATAAAAGATAAAGCTTCAGAGATGCATAAATAATTTTTTAACAATTCATGATAATATAAAAAAGCAATCGGGTTCTATAAATCGACCCGAGACAGTTTCAGGTGGGATGGAATGAGTTCAACAGTTTTATAGGGTTTCTCAGAAGTCCTGGAAATCAGCAGCAAATTTGCATCGCAGAAAAATATAGCCTCATATAACATGTCAAGCTATTTTTATACTTTCTTATACTCCAGCACAAAGCATCATCCCGTTAAGCAGATAAAAGTGAAATGCGATCTGAAAAGATTTTAGGGTGTTTTATGATATGCATGAATATATACACCCGGAGATCCGAAGAGTCTTGGTAACTAATTCGTATGCTTCACTTTCTGAGGGATTATTTTTCGATTTGCGCTGAAATTATTCTTGAGATTCTTTTCTTCAAAAAAAAAATCAGGGATTTTCAGCTGCTTCTGTAAACGAATGCCTTCCGAATGAGCATATTCTAATCAGTATTTTCAAAAACTTTTAAGTCATCGCTAGGAAATTATCGTACCGTAACTAAAAAAAATCGTTATAGGAAGCCATCTGCAAAAGTTGAAAGACGATTTTGCTTAATAGCCGCGCAGATTTTCCCAATTATTTTTTTGCGGTTTTTACGACTCACATACCACGTAACCCATAAAATTCAGTGAGAAATCCTGCTGAAAAAGAATCGAACGTTTCAGTCATTATTTTTATTGTTGTTGCGTTCTGGACGCTATGGAATATATTTATATTCATGAGACTAATCTGTAGTAAAGATACATCCATATTTCATTCAGAATCCATGACGGCTACTTTAGGAGATTCGCTAGACTTCTGAGAAAACCCTTTTCTTAAATTTTCGACGGTTCCGGGAGCCACGTCACCCGTCACCGTCACTCGACCCCGACGATGGTTCCACAGATGGACCCGACATCAGTGCCGTCGGAAATCTTGACAGATCGTCCCAGAATGGAGTTGGCGTCGAAAAGAGTCGCTGTTTCCAGCGGCACAACGGGCTCTGACCCGGACCCGACTCCATTGGACACGGTCACTGCTTTCGAAATCACCCCTCCGTTCGGGTTCTGTAATTTAAATCGTATTCCGAGACACAAACGTAGCGAAAGGTCAGTCAACTCCTTTCCAAATGCAAAACAGAATGATAACCCCCCCCCCCCAGGTAAATTTAATTTTACCGAAAATAAAAGAAAGAAGAAAATTTTCTGCCATCATCGATCAAAGTTTAGGCAATTTATGTGCTGGAAAATTCCGTGACTCGAGTCATGCGTCGTTTTACATTTATTCGATATATTAGCATTTAATTCCTTTGTTCTTGCGTTTTCCCCCCCTCCAATTACATCCTCGTCGTTCACAAATATATCGAAAGATTAATCAGTGTTCCTTACCAAACGCAGAACAGAAGAAAAGAAGCTCATCCTCTATATAGATGATATTGCACGAAAAATAAAAGAAAAAATGGTTTCTGCGATCATCGACCAGAGAAGTACAACAAACTTCGGCCAACTTCGCCACTCGATTCGAGCAGAACTTTACATTTAATCAATATTTGAATAGCATTCTTATTTTTCTTTCTGTTTTTTTTTTTTTTAAGCTAAAAGCACAGAATGGATCAATAGGGCATGTATTCTTTCTGAAGTACGGAAGAAGAGAATTTCAGAATGTAAAAAAGAAGGAAGGTTCACAGCAATCATTGATCAAAAAAGTTATCTAAACACCGGACGAAAAAAACGCCTCCCTTTTTATTCGAGTCAATTAGCGTTTAAAAATGTATTCAAAAATGAAAAGACTTCTAAATGTTTCCTTATTTAATTTTTCATTCAAAATATTTTGCACCCAAGGAACACTTTTTTCGGGAAAAATTGCTATGACTAACAGCGTTCATCATAATTGAATAGCGTATCAGATGGTATTTCATCGTCAATTGGGTGCTGTATTTAATGGTTTCTTACATATTGTGGAATATCGCCCGCTGATAGTACATACAGTCTATAGTGCATTATGATTTTTGGCAGTCTAAACTCAAATGTAATCCAAAATGAAATTAAGAATCGGATCCAAAGATGAAAAAATGCCACATGTATCTGTCTCCTGCACGCAGATTACTCTAAAGGAAGAAAAATTGAACTTACATTTGATGGATTGTAGAGAGGACCCAGGATATTGTCGAAGCAGGCATTCGCGACAATTCCTCTGGGATTTACGCGAATTTCGAAATTCCTGTTAGTGCCGTCTGGTATATTCGCAGTGCTAAATGACCAGATAACGATCATCCGATGAAGGCTGCTTTGCTGAACGAAATCCGCTGTTCCCACTAAAACACCGTTGTTGGTGACTCCATTGGACACGGTCACTGCTTTCGAAATCACCCCTCCGTTCGGGTTCTGTAATTTAAATCGTATTCCGAGACACAAACGTAGCGAAAGGTCAGTCAACTCCTTTCCAAATGCAAAACAGAATAATAACCCCCCCCCCCTCCCAGGTAAATTCAATTTTACCGAACATAAAAGAAAGAAGAAAATTTTCTGCCATCATCGATCAAAGTATAGGCAATTTATGTGCTGGAAAATTCCGTGACTCTAGTCATGCGTCGTTTTACATTTATTCGATATTTTAGCATTTAATTCCTTTGTTCTTGCGTTTTTTCCCCTCCAATAACATCCTCGTCGTTCACAAATATATCGAAAGATTAATCAATGTTCCTTACCAAATGCAGAACAGAAGAAAAGAAGCTCATCATCTATATAAATGATATTGCACGAAAAATAAAAGGAAAAAAGTTTTCTGCGATCATCGACCAGAGGAAGTACAAGAAACTTCGGCCAACTTCGCCACTCGATTCGAGCAGAACTTCACATTTAATCAATATTTGAAAAGCATTCTTATTTTTCCTTCTGTTTTTTCAAACTAAAAGCACAGAATGGATCAATAGGGCATGTATTCTTTCTGAAGTACGGAAGAAGAGAATTTCAGAATGTAAAAAAGAAGGAAGGTTCACAGCAATCATTGATCAAAAAAGTTATCTAAACACCGGACGAAAAAAAACGCCTCCCTTTTTATTCGAGTCAATTAGCGTTTAAAAATGTATTCAAAAATGAAAAGACCTCTAAATGTTTCCTTATTTAATTTTTCATTCAAAATATTCTGCACCCAAGGAACACTTTTTTCGGGAAAAATTGCTATGACTAAAGCAGCGTTCATCATAATTGAATACTGTATTAGATGGTATTTCATCGTCAATTGGGTGCTGTATTTAATGGTTTCTTACATATTGTGGAATATCGCCCGCTGTTAGTACATACAGTCTATAGTGCATTATGGTTTTTGGCAGTCTAAACTCAAATGTAATCCAAAATGAAATTAAGAATCAAATCCAAAGATGAAAAAATGCCGTATGTTTTGCTTCCAGCACACAGATTACTCTAAAGGAAGAAAAATATAACTTACATTTGATGGATTGTAGAGAGGACCCAGGATATTGTCGAAGCAGGCATTCGCGACAATTCCTCTGGGATTTACCCGAATTTCGAAATTCCTGTTAGTGCCGTCTGGTATATTCGCAGTGCTAAATGACCAGATAACGATCATCCGATGAAGGCTGCTTTGCTGAACGAAATCCGCTGTTCCCACTAAAACACCGTTGTTGGTACTTTACTTTGCATGCACGAGGGTGTGTTCAATAGTTCTGTTTTGCCTCTACATATAGGAATACTTGGATCAACGAAAATTGATGATCTTTTGAATGCGATAATTTTTTTAACTCATTTTCGGACCATCGTTTAAATTTTTATCATATTTTTGAGAGTGAAATAAAGAATGACGGGAGTTTGAGGCTGCACGCCATATATATTCATGAGGAAATAAAAATTTATTTGTCATATTTGAAGGATTTATACTTTTTACTCTTTGTGGGATGCAAAAAGGATTTCTGATTGTTGGAATATCTTCATGTTGGCTATCATTTTTGACAAACAGTTTAGCAAAAAAGCTTTTCTGTTCTTCGGCATTTTTTTGCCAACGCTGAGTGTGAAGGTTTTTTTGAAAGATCAATTTGTTGAGAGTGAAGTTGATGATTGAAAAGACCAATACTCTTATTGCACACGAAGAACTTTTCTTAAAAGCATTGGTGAAACTTTTTGAATGTTTCCTTACATGTAAAACTTTCCCGGGTATCACAGGAAAAAAAGAACCCTCAAAACCGGAACCTTTCCGGCGAATTATTCCGATATCAACTTTGATATCCCGAAAATCTTGTTGATGCAGAATGCATCAACATGCAGATCCGCGCAAAACGTGCCACGTCACGAAAAATCAAAGCACGGAATAGACCAATAAGCGAAAATTTATGTTGCAAATGAATGATTTTATTGAAATTTTCAAGAAAATTCAGTATATGGGTAAAACACTTGAAACTCAGAAGCTGCGCTTGCAATTTCATGACGGGCTTTGGCTTTCATCATGCTTGCACGATTCTCCCACAAAACACGTTCGCTGAAGTTGCTGCTTCTGTCGAAGTCTTTGAAAACTTGATGGTTCTGCCAATAATCGAAGTTGGTGGAAATAGAGTCGCCATTTGCGCAGTCACAGTGGTGATGTACGAATTTAGAACATTTTCGGTGTTAATTGCAGTCACGCTGGCAGGCGACAGTAGAATTCCTCCGTTGGTCATCTGAAAAAAAACGACAACGAAATAAAGCATCGTCTCGCATTTGAAGATTGCACTGATCATTTATAAAAAAAATGTTTTCATTGTTATTTTGAAGAAAAACCGGTTCAACTAGACACTTAAAAAAGATGGTAATTTTGCTTTTAAGATCTTACAGAATATATGTGATTTAGTGCCCCCCAAATTAGTGCCACCCTTGCATAGGGCCACAAATTTCCCTGGAACAAATCTCTGTTAATTGCGATCTCAAGGGAAACCCCGATTTAGTGCCACAGAAAATGCCTTACAATTGGGCCTGTAATCAAGGAAATAAATACTTTTTCTTTGACTATCATTGAGTTATTATTGTGTACCATATGATCCATGCTCGCAAAAAATTCCGTAAAATTTTGTATGCTCAATTTCTGAATTTAGATTCTCAAAACTATTCTTGCTTTTGATTGAGCACTTTCCATCCTTAAAAAACTTGAGAAGTGGGAGCCTTCCAGTAAAAATTGGTGAATCCTGATCCTGATGAGTGATAGCACATGATGTAAGCATAATAAAATATTATTGGAAGGTCTTGATTAAAGGTAGGAGTTGCCTTCTGTGGAGGGCACCTGAAATTAAGCTGGCATAAATTGAAATGAACTGTCTATTTTTGTGGCCATGAATGCTACAAAATGTCATAAAAACAATACTCAGGGAGCAACATTTCAATCAGTTTTTGAGAATCGGTTCCCTCTAAATGATAATAAGTTGCATAATAATGCAACAAGAATTTTGTTCTTCCATAGATTCAATTCTGTAACGCCTTGAATTTTCACGGTGCCCTTGATTTAGTACCACCCTGTCGCTTAGTGCCACAAAATAGCCTGGGACAGATGGTGGCACTAAATCATATTATAGTATTTACTATAATATATTTCCTTTATCATATAATAGTATTTATAGTATTTAATAGTATTATTAAAATGAAATTACATCTATAATAATGAAATTTAATCTATCTAATTACATCTATGATATTACATCTGTCCCAGGCTATTTTGTGGCACTAAGCGACAGGGTGGCAGTAAATCAGGGTTTGAACCGTCAGTAAATACGGTAAATGTGTATAATGTATTTCTTACTGCATTTGGATTGTAAACTTCTCCGATTGCGCAGAATGGATTGGCTGTGGCAAGGGCAGATGCAGTCCTAACGTCCAAAACACCCGTCGTTGTCGCGTCTAGAATCGCATCCGCAGACGCAGCAGAAAAGGCCACGATCACGATCATATTGTGGACCGCGCTGCGTTGAAAGAAAAGGACTTCGCCGATCAATGTGGTACTTGCTGTATTCCGAGATAAAGAAGCTCTTGCCATCAGAGGAAATCCATCTCGCATTTGCGCGATTTGGTTCTGAGCTGTTGATAAAAGTAAAATAATGGCACGATGAAAGAAATTGAAGCTTCAGTAGAATATGAGAATGATCTGCTCTTGAATTTATTCCTCGAAAATCTCACCTTGACCGATGTACACGTCAGGAGTGAAAATAGTGGCGAAGGGGTTCTGTTTGTTTGTGAGCAAGCTCGTCAAGTCGATTTGCTTGCCTCTTTTTGCTTTCACCTCTTGTTTCAGAACACTGTCATCACTAGATACATTTTGGGAATTTATTTGGGCTCCGCATGCCAGGATTAATCCTGCGATCACTGTCGGAAATAGAAAGCCTCGATATTAATAAAAAAGTTCGACTTTAATCCGGCGAAAAGTTAGCTTACCAAGAAGTTCCATTTTTAAAATGTTGCTTGTTTTTCGGATCTAGTAAACCCTGATATCAAGACGTTTCACAAGTGACGGAGAGAGCTGAAAAGCTTGAGCGATAATCTGCGGAGCTGGAATAGAAAATATTGTTTTCAGGCGCTTTGAATAAAGTCAGCATCACGTGAAGATCGGTGAAAGCAAAAAATATTTCAATTCACTATCGTGAACCAGTTACAAAATGATGAGGTCCGATATATTCTCCAATCGGGTATGCTCGTGAATACTGGGTCAAGGAATATCGCCGAAAGGACATCATACAAGACGAAATATGATGGAGGTCTCAGAAGGATGAAAAAATGGCTTGAAATTTCTGAAATTAGGGATTTAAAATTATGGAACTCCGCGAATCAGTAGCTGCATGAAGAACCACTCCTTCTGTATAGTACAGTGTTCCCCAACCTTTTTTGACTTGCAGGCAGCCAAATTTTAATAATATCCTTTGCAGAACGGCATATTTTCATAAATTTTTCTGCGGATCGGCAACCTTCTGTACAATTTTTGATGTCCTGCAGAAAATTTTAAAATACCTGCCACACAATCCTCAGAACAAAACTTTTATTGCAGAAATTAACTACTTGAGAACTCATGAAGCACCTATAACGTGTAGACGACTTTAAAAAAAATAGGATGCTGGGCTTGAAGAAAGGTTTCTCAGGTTGAAAACTAGAAGTAACATATTTCACCAGGTGAAAATATGTCTGAATTGCTATTAGGAGAAAAATCAACAATTTAGTTTTCATCAAATAATTTCAACAGCCATTGTGTCCAAAATTTTGGATTACGATAACAGACTTCTTCACTACTCTCAATTAATTTATTATGTGGAATAAATTTTCCTGCAGAATAAGAGCAAAAAACGTCTGCAGACCGGCGCCGGTACCCCGACCACGGGTTTAAGAACACCGTTACAGTGCACCTGGAAACTTAAATAATAAAAAATACAGCTTGATCACTAACACATGTTGTTTTTACTGGACAGATCTGATTTTTTGCTGTCGTTTCCAATTTCACGAAAGAGTGGTTGTGATAATGGTCATTGAAAATTCGATGCGTTAAAATCGGTATCCGGAAAATATTCGGAAATTGTACATGGAGGAAATCTGGAGTCCATTCCTGGATAAAAAAAATTTTTTATACAGGAATTATGAAGGTATACAGTACTTGGAATAAAATTAAGCGGTACACTTCAACATGGAACCTATACATCTTTGATTGACCAATTCTTCCCAAACGTGCGCATAACTTTTTGCCCACCATTTAATATTACATTTTTAGTCATTTTATTCATTCTAACCGGAATTCCCTGAAAAATATCATCAGCATTATAACTGACGTGATCCTCAATTCCTTTGTGTGACGCACATTATTATAAAATTTATACCACAGTCTAATTATACACTGGATTAGAAGGATACTCTTGAAGCTTTGTTTAGCAGAAAAATGGTGCATTTGAAAATTCTGAGAGTGTTCAAGAAATTATCGAACGATGCTTAGAGAAAATTTCGTCTACATGTAGACGAAATTTTGGACGAATGTTTCCAAAATGGAGGATGCATCCTCCATTTTATTGAATCTCCGATTATGAGAACTGGAAAATAACAAAATGTTTCCAACTTTCCCCATTTCAGTTATTGTTGATCACACCGTCTTTACAAGGATAATTAACAGAGATAACCTAAGATTTTGTCCAAAATTGTAAGACACGTCTATACTGCTGCAAAGACCTGGTGTTCGGCGACCCGAAACTCGGTACATATGCATACATAAAATGTAAAAATAAACCATGTATAGAGAGTTAGAGACTGAAGAAACAAGTTTTATTTCAGCACACGCACTCATCAACACCCAACTGCAACAAGGATCAACAGAAAGCCCAGACAAACGTAACGACTCTATTAACAAACATCCGCGCCTATATACTAACATTTTTGTTAGTCAATAAATAATATTGTTCTCGATGTTTTTGTTGTTTTAAATCTTCAAATTCTGACAATATTGCCGCAGAACAGATTCGCACTCGTGGCAGTACTCGAATCCGCTTGATGAAAATATTGAACGCTCTTCCCAAACACCGAATTCGTACCGAAAAGGGTTACTTGCGAAACCACTGTGTTGGTGACAGAGCCTAAAACAGTGTTTACCACGGGAGTGCCTCCAGTAGTGCCCGTGAAACCAGTAATCAATCCGGTAGTCTGAAAAAAAATAAAATTCTTGACCTTCTTGCTCTGTATTTTTGAAGGAATTATGTACATCGCGAAACTCTTGAAAAAAATCCCCCAAACGCTATTCAGGATAACTCAAGATCATGCCCAAATTGGAGCAGAATCGCACCAAAGCTCGATAAGTCGCGTGAAAAACAAAACGTACAGATCTGATGGAGAAAAGGCCGAAATTTGCCATGCAATTCCGAATGATCAGCTAGCTGCTGATGGGATCATCAACAACTGAATGAGTTGTAAAATGTTTTCTATGTTTTCCATTTGCTTCCTGAAATGTGGATATAGGAGGGAACTGCGCGTGCGAATTGAAATTTATATTTTCGTACATTTGGTGGCCTCGCACATTTTTTCGATAACTTCATAACGTACTGATCAGGAAAATGTATTATTAGCGTTACTCATCCTGAAAAGAAACTTTCGATTCATGCAAGTTTAATTCACTAAACGCACTTGGACCCTGTTTTAACTGGTTACTCTCAAAATGCAAATGAATACACTCACGGTAGAGTAGAATTTACTTCCCAAGGTTGCATCACCGCAGGCAGGATTTGCAGTATTGACTGCGGTTGACCACACTTGGAGTCTCCCCGCATTAGTTGTGGCAGTGATAGCAGTTCCCCCATCAGTGATGCTGGCAACTGCAATGACTGGACTAGTGGACGTTTTCTGAATGAAATAAACGGAGCCAACGATCGTAGCTGTTCCTCCGCGGTACATGTCCGCTTTGCCGATCAAAGGAGTCTCAGTCTGCTTCAGAGCATTGATTTGAGAGATCAGGCTCAGATCTGATGGAGAAAATATTGACGAAATTCCCGATGCATTATTGCATTACATCTCGGTGGCTGATCCTATGCGAACGATCAGCTGCTGAGATAATCAACAATTGGATGAACGAGGATATGAAATGGGCATAAGACACAAGACTGAAGCACGTGAGTCGATGAGAATCGGGGTTTTTACAAGTTTTTTTTTCCTCCAGGACTAATTATTTTCCAGGGGGGTACCAAAAGATAATTTTTTTTTTGCCCGCATAAGGTTACGATTCAAAAATACATGCGATAAACAATTTGGACTTATGGTACTTCTGTCACTTCTACCTTTTCAAAAATTACAAATGAACGCACATCAGTGACGAAATTCAAAACAATTTTACAATCTGAATCCTCGAAACAACAGATTGATAAACAAATCGAGGTTTATCAGAATATGTTTCGATGAATGATAGCATCGAAATCTCAATGCTTTTGCTAATGTATATAGCTATGAACAGCACGGATATTTTTCAACTGATTCTTTGCGGATAAATCAGGAAAAACGGAGAACACGAATTGAAAAATCATTCCAGAGTCAATCCAACTCGATCTTGCTGTTTAACTTGGCCTTTATAGCTTTTCAGACAATGATTGAGAATTGGTAAAGAATAGGGGTTGCACGGTTCCGCGCGGATCAGCGTGTTGCTGCTGTTCTGGGGAATAAGCTTCAAAATTTAACAACTGAACATTTGAAGGCCTGTTATTTCAACGCATGGATCAAAAGGGCTGAGAAGTGTGTAAAAATTGGTGGTGATGACATTGGGAAGGTGTCTGCCTAACCTCTATTGAACATGAACTATTGAACATGAGAAAAATCTTTTTAAAAAATCCCTGGCGTTCAGATCATTCAAGTCTGCGCCGAAACGAGTCCCGCCCGGAAACGTGTAACCCCTCGTACATTCGTCAATGCATCATTCTATATGTACGAACATAGTTCATCAGAAACCTGGTACAATATTGTAGAACTGTTGGAAAGATTTTATGCGAAAACTTGGACCCTCTCCTTATTAAAAGTTTCAAAATTTATTCATTCGGAAAACTCACAGGCGTTTTGAAGAGCACTGTCGAAAAGACGAGCACTGGGGTCCACCGAAGAATAAGGCACCAGAGTGGCGACAGCCCCTGTGGTTTTCCCATCACCTCTCAGCCTGTCAGGTTCCTCTGCAGGGATAACCTGTTGTTGTTGCTGCTGCAGTTGTTGTTGAGGACTAAATTGATAGCTCGGGGGTACATTGAGGTAGTAAAATAGTGGTTGTGCTTGCTGTTGCTGAGGAAACTGGAATCCTGGTACTTGAGCGTTCGCCACAGCGACGCAAATGGCGATCAGCAGTGCGACTAATAATCAGGAGCAAACATATTCGTATTTTGACCCTACTGTCTAAAAAGCCTTCAGGAAATCGGAATGCCAGTTGTCTTACCAGAAAACCTGAGCATTTTGGTTCTAGTTGGAGTTCAGCGAAACTTCCTACAGAAAACGATAAAAATAACGTAATATCCAGAATAACACCAACAATAGAAAGCAACTCTCTTCAATAAGCACTTTCGATAAAAAAAAACGTTGTTTCTAAAATTATTGTGATGCACGCGGACTGCAAGCAGTCGGATGATACCTGCCCACTGCGAAGTTCAGCCCTTGAAGTACGAACACGTCTGGCCTGGAACCTCTTATATATTTTCTTTCAAGGAAATTCACTGTAGTTCTTAGACCTGAATCCTATTCATGCATCATAAG